TTATAAAATTTATTAGCATTAGAGTTGAAAAGATAGATATGTTAATAAGCTGACAATCATGTTGGTAGTTCTGATTCTAAAAAAATCTGGTATATGCAAGAAGAAAGATAAGTATAAATTAATGAATTACCAATTCAAGTATTTATGATGCAAATACTAATATACCAAAACATGTACATATAACAATAGCAAGATATATAAAATGAAAGATCAGTAGTAGCAGCTCTCCAAAGCCAGGTAGGAAACCACTGGCTAAAGTTATATATTGCAAAGCTTCTGACCCTTTATATTGACAGAAACCTACTGCTAATGCCAATTACAGTATACTAGAGTTTGGAATCGAAATTCATTTTTCTTATATTGAAACCAGTTTGAACTGATCTAAATATAATAAAAATGAATTTCGATTCTAACCTCTACAGTATATATTAATTGCACCAATGTATATTATATGAGTGCTATCAATAGAAAACCTGTTATCAGGTTTTCAATATTTAGTTAGTTTTCTGCATACAATCTATAGGTGATCTATTCTGATGATAAATTGTTTATAGACAGTATACAGAAAGCCAACTAAATATTGAAACCTGATGACAGATTTTCTAATAACAGTACTCATATGTATGCTATATATTGCAGTGCTATTTTGGTTCCAACAATTATAAGTTTAACAATACATATAAAATAATGCAAGATCGTCCACATACCTTATCAATATACAAATACTTTAATAACAATTAAACTTTTCCCATATATTGTTTCAAGAGCTATTGTCTTTATTATCTTTTTGCCAGACTTGAGATGCATTGTTTTTCTTTGATATAAATAAACATTGTTTATAAAAAAAAAAAAAAACTGATAACAATTCACCTTTTTTTTTTAAAGCTAATACACTTTCATTATAAAAAATAACCACAGACTTTTTCAGTCATCTCACATTTTAAGCTAATACTTATCATTATAATTTTTTTTTTTTTGACATTTCAAAAACTGATTTTTTTTTTTTTAAGAAGTGTTTCTTTAACATGTAATTCATTAGAAATCCCAAGAGCTGATTCTAGCACAATTCTTTTTTTACATTTCATATATTAGATAGCCAATACTTTGTTGTATGCATTTTAAATAATCTCATATGCACTTTTTTTTTATTTAAATAACACTTTTTGTGTTATAATTTAATAATTCAGTATATACCTTTTTTATATCAATATATTCATTTATTACAGTTCACTACATACCTGCCATACTGCCTTTGCTATCTATTCTAGATAAATACATCATCAAAAGCAATGAAAAGGTCAACAAATTTAATGTAAAAGTATACTGCAAACTATGTATAAAACATTTGGGTGAAAAAGATGGTGGTAAATTCTGGGTTCCTAATAAAACAGACCAGATAATTTTGTACTTAAGAAAATGTAAAAATTTTTTCACTGAAATGACACCTGAAGATAGAGAAAAAATTTTTAGTTTAATTAATACTCCTTCAAAAAGTATTATTTATTTGTTCACTTATTTACTCATTCATTTTGCTTCTTCATTTACTTATTTTACTTATTTACTCTTTACTTACATATTAATTCACTTATTTATTAATTTATTCATTTATTATAAAATTTTATTTTATAAAATCTAATGAAACATCTGATTCATGTCCTTCAAAAATCATTCGATCTTTTTCTTTTAGACCAATAGATAATTATATTATTAAGCCTTTGTTGCCTCAAGATGTAAAAAAATTTTAGCAGCTTATTTTACGACTTACAGTTTCTTGTAGCTAGGCATTATACTAGGTAAATAAACCAGAAGCAATTAAATTATTTGAATTTCTTAATTTACTTCTCAAGCTTCCAGACTGACATATACTTGGTGATCTAGTTTTAAATAATACAACTAATGAATCTGAAAAAGTAATGCTATCTATTTTGAAAGATGATCAAATTGGTATTACACTTACTTTTGATAGTTGGACTAATATTCGCAATGAGCATTTATTTAGTGCAGTTGTATTAATATCAGAAGGAAGGCCGTATATTTAGAAAGCAATAGATATTAGTGCAAAACATAAAACACATGTGAAAGTAATTGAAAAAATCAATATAATGTTTACTGAATTAGATGTACAAGCAATAAAACCTATTGCTATTGTAACAGATAGTGCAGGAGCATATGCTGCTGCTAGGTATATTTTATTTAATTTTTATTTTATATAAATAAAAATTAATATTTTTTTATAGACGTTGATTGAGAATTGCAAACAGATCAATTGTATTCTTACCATGTTATACGCAACAAATAAATTTGTGTATTAGTAAAATCTTTAAAGAATCAATTGATTTTAAAAGAATAATAGATTAAGTAGTTCGTATTTCTACATATTTTAAAAATCCAAATAACAAATTTTTTATAGCAAAATTAAAGGATGAACAGTTTGCTGAATACAAAAAATATTTCATGATTAATGCTCCTAGAGAAACACAATGGAATAGTTATTTTTATGTTTGTCTAAGCTTTCTAAGATCACAAAAGATATTACAAGTAATTAATATAATATTTTATTATTATATTAACAATTAATAGTAAAGAACCTTAATAACTATTATATTATTATTATACTACTACGTAGTTAAATTAATTTTTTTGTAATTGATTTTATAAGTTAAATATAATTGATCTATTATTTTATTACTTTATTAGATTCTTGCAATTAAGTTTGAGCTATCTATTGTAGAAACTTATCATGCTAGAATAAAGCTAAAATTAAAGTGTAAAGTCTATGAAATTATTAGTTCAGCAAATTTTTGGACCAATATTCACGATTTGCTTAATATTCTCCAACCTTATTATATTATTTTAAACAAATTGCAATCTGATAAAGCTCAACTACATCAAGTTATCTTGAGTTTAGCTTTTCTTGCCCAATTTTGGGAAAATTATGATGATTTGTAGCTTAGTACTTAGCTTTTATTACATTTAGAACATCGATAGCATGATTAGAAACAACTAATATTGATTCTTTTTTGTTTTTTATATCCTAATTATCATACAGAAAAGTTTAATATAAATATTAATTATACTAACTTTAGACTATAGCTAATTTATTATTATCGTGCATAGTTTGGTAAAGAATCAAAGTGAATTTTAAAAGAATTTGATGATTTTTACTTAAAGAAATACCCCTTTGATGTAGATATATAGGAGCATTTTAAAGGTAATATCTATAAATATTAGTGTTTTGCAAGAGGAGCAACAGAAGAATTAGGTTTAGTTGCAAGTCGCATTTTTGGAATATGCATAAATGCCACTACTGTGGAATGACTTTGGAGCTGTATGAGATTTCTTCAAACAAATTGACGTAATCGTTTAGTGATAAGTTTATACTGTATAAGTTTAATAATGCAGAAGAATTGTTTTAATATTTCATAACTAGCTATGACATTAGCTTTAGCTAATTCTGTTATTGCGATAATTATTCTGTATTATTAATAAAACCTTTAATATATTTTAAATTAATATTTTACTAATTTAAACTTAGTTCCCCAAGGCTTTAAAAATGAGTAAATTGTATGCAGATATCGCATATAGCAATCGAATTCACACTAATTTAAAAGAAAATCAAAAAGATTTATATGACAATACCTTTAATCAACAATATAATACATTTATAGAAACAAATTCTGCAGAACCAACTAATATTTAAACTTTTTTTTTAGGTAGTATAAATAATTCAAGCTCTTCAGAAATAAACAAACCTCCAAAAAATGTTGAAACAAATAAACCTGCAAAAGATATTAAAATTGAATCTTCAGATGAAGAATCTGATAGTGAATCTGTAAATATTGTAACTGATTTTGATAATTACTTACAAGAATAGATAGAAATACTAGAAGATGAAAAACAACGATTTGAGGATGAAGAAATTGATGATGATTATATAGATAATAAAGAACTTTCTATCAATAATATTACTCATCCTGCAGTAGACACTAATGCAAAGTGGGAGTTAGTTACTCTTTTCAAGAGATTAGAGCTAAAAGAAATTATAGGTTAAATTTCTAGCAATAATTAAGCAAAGTGTAAATAAAATAATATCTTTTCACTAATATAATAAGTTATATTCTAAAAAAAATAGACATTAAAGTACTTACATATAATATATCATATATATTAATTATTTAGAGATTCATTTGTTCACAAGAGATGTTAAAATCCTTGCCTTTTGAAAGAACATTTTAAAATAAGTTTAAACATTCAGTAAATTTATATAGTTCTAAATTTTTAAATTTGACCATTTATACAATATATTTTATGAATTTTTTTAGAAAGTTTCAAGTAAAATTTGTTTCATTCAAATCAAAATCGCATAATTCAAATCTATTAAATATAAATTAGAACCATATGATTCAAATATATTAGATACAAATATTTGTGATAAATATAAAACTTTGGTTAATAAACATTATATTTTTTTTGCTTCGTGTAATTTTAGTTATTATAATAAATTTGGATGTTATTTTTTAATATTTATTAGTTGATCTGATTCACTTAACAAACTAGCATAATAATTACAAAAATTATTAATAAAATATCAAATGCTATTTTACAAGGTAAAAGTATCTAATAAATATTTGGATACAATAATGCTTTGTAGCATTTTATATTAGTTATCTGATTTTAATTTGTTGACTGATAATCACTTCACAAGATTATAATGCTTAAATATGACTTCGCATGTCAGTTTCATAACAACTTTTGATATAAATTACATTTGGTAAGAAAATAGTCAGTTCATAATAAAGATTTACAAAACTTTCTTTTATTAAGAGGTTATAAATAATTTGTTATAAGTGGATTTATTATAGACTAATTTTTGCTTAACTTTTATTAGCCTTTTTTATATTGAAGATTTTTATATCGATATTATATAAATTGCAATATATAAAATACAATGTTACCTCACTAGAGATCTATATAGATTATGTGATAAATTTGTTTTAAGTTTGTCTTACATAAGGTATATTTCTAATTTTATTTACACGATCCAAATTAAGATTTGATCAATTTATACTTTGGACATAGGTACTACCTTAGACATAGCTTTCGTTTGTCTATAGACATAAACTGTTCAAGTCTAATGCATGTCCACATCCATATCCATGTCTAATAATAATACTGGGTGCAAGTAAGTCTGCAGTATAACGCAACCTAGTACCTTGCATTTAGTGGCTATACCAACTTGACTTAGCGGCTAACTAGATTGAGAGGATCTACCTCGTAAAACATTTAGAAGTCTAAACTAGTGAAGAGCTACAGCTAGAACTAGGTTTGTATGAATATTGAATAAGGGTATATGCAAGTTAGATTGGGATATAGTATAGCATAATTAGGTATCGTGACATTCATCTGTTATGGGGCGTTGAAGTGAGACTTATCTAGATAAGATCTAGACCTATAACAATAAAGTTTGTGACTAATGTCAGCTTGGATATCTCCTAGAGTAGAGTAGCACAGAGTTATAGTTAACTATAAAGAGTAATATTTGTAGTAAGTGAGATAGAGTCAGAGTTTAAATAGGGAATCTTCTAAGAGATTTCAGGAATAGCAGCTAGTGTAGAACCTTCGAGCAGACTACTTAAAATAGATAATCTAAAATTGTATGTGTAGCTAGTTGTACTCTTATAATATATATTACTTCTGAAATATATGAAATTAATAAAGTTTAGCCAATAGTATTTGTATAAAATATATATATATATATATATATATATATAATTAGTTAGTTATTTGAAATATTTCAATATTATTAAAATTATAAAATTATTTTTAATATATTAGAATAATTTTAAATTATATATCAAAATTTTACAAAATTTTGAATATTTTAAAAATATTTATATATTTTAGTCATTTATTTGTATTATTTGATAATATTATTTAAATTATAATTTTAAATAGAAAATTTTTAAATTTATATATGTGTTTGTATATGAATATAAACAAAAAAAAATTTTTTTTATTAAAAAAAAGTAATCTTTTTTAATTTTAAGATTAAAGCAAAACCTAAGATTTTAACAAGATTATAGTTATATGCAAAATTTAGCAAAGAATTTTTTTATTAATACTTTAAAGATAGTTTCATAAACAAAATTTTAAGATATTGTTATTTTTTTAAAAAATTCTCTGTTTTTTGTTATATAATGAAAGATTTATATATTATATCTGATCTTAAATTTTGATTAGCTTTTTTAATAAGATTATATAATATAGTGTACAAATACTAGTGTACAAATAGTAATTCTTTTTTAAATAATTTATTATTCAAATTATAATTTTAAATAATTTTTAATATATTAGAATATTTCTATTTATATGAATAATTTTGCAATTTAAAATATTTATAATTTGTTTTTAATATTATTTAAATTATTAATTATTTTAAAAATATTAGAATAATTATAAATTATATATTAAAATTTTACAAAATTTTGAATATTTCAAAATAGTTATAATAATTAGTTATTTATTTGTTAGTAATTTGACAATATTATTTAAAATATAATTTTAAATCATTTTAAATATATTAGAAAGTTTTTATTTATATTTAAAATTTTGCAAATATTTAAAATTATTAATTTATTTTTTTTTTTTAGTTTTATAGAGATAAAGTTGTTATATCAAGAAAGTAGAGTAAAGTATTATAAATTGATTTTGAGTGGTAATTTGTCTGTTCCTTTTTTTACAAGTTTATCTACTATATTGTAAAAGGTATTTTTAGAGTGAGATTTAATTTTGTAAAAAGTATAAAAAATATTTTTGGACTTGACTAGTGAGTTTATAATATGAATTATATTTTAGTTAAGTTATTTAATTTGAGTAGAGTTTTTGTAAGGAAGGTTTTTAAGAGTTTGTAAAACTAATATATTGTCTAAATATATATAGATATTTGAAGATATTAGAAGAATGAGTAAAATTAAAATTATTACTTCTATTTCTGCTCTTGTTAAGTTAGAAATATATGCTAAAGCAGTATTAAATTTTATTTAAGTATTGTTAGAGAGGATCTAACTAAAGCCTAATTTGATAGAAAATATTTGTAAGTAATAAATCAATATATCAGTATAGAAGTATAAATTATTTTGAGGTGAGTTAGAGAGGAGATTATATAGTTAATAAGCTGTTCTTAGTATATAGTTAAACTAATTGTATTTTTGATAAGAGCTATTTTAGTGTTTGAAATTAATATAGTAGATAGTAATAAGACTTGGTTTTGAGTATAGAGTGATATAGAAATAGTAATAAGATTTTTAATTTTAAGGTAATTAATAGATATCTTTTTTGTATTTGTATCTATAAATTTAATAAGATGTTTAATTATATATTCTTAATAGGGATATATTTGATATGTTGAGCTTAGGTCAATATTAGTAAGCAATATATTTTTAGTTTTGTTTTGAATATTTATATTATTGCATTCATATTTGTTAAGAGTTTTTGTGACTTATTCTTCTATAACTTAGTGAATACTAGTTTTGTTTGCAGAATATTCCTACTAGTATGAGTTATTTTCTTTTGAGATATAGTATCATTTGCATATATTATTATTATATTTAGTTAGGTATCTTTTATGCAGATTCTCTATAGTCAGTAGCTTATTAGTTAACAGTTTAAGTTTGAAAGCTTTAATTCTAGATTGAGTTAGATAAATAGATCAAGTATTTGGTATACAATTAAAGTTTATTATCGTTAACATTGTAGACTAGTTGAATTCTGAGTAAAAGTTGTTGATCTCATCAAATCTTCATTAAGAACATAGTTCTGCTATATATACTGATTACATAGATGTCTGACAAAACATCTAGGTTTGTAAATGATGCTAAGTTGTTCCATAAAATATATATTGTATAATGTCTTAGAGTAATGTTAGATGAATCAACTAGAATTATTGTTAACTCTTTACTGTATTTTGTTAACTCTTTATGTATTAAGATTAAGTTGATATCTCTCTGTACTTTAATCATAAGAATAAGGATATATCTAGTTTTCTATTTTTTTGCGCTAGTTATAGTAGTATTTAAGATAGAAGGCTTAGATGCTTGTATATTAATAGCATATTTAGAATATAGTTCTCAGATAAAAAGTTGAATAACAAAAGTAGCAAAAAAGATGTTTGTTTTATCAATTTTCTTTTCAATTCTCTAAACCTATTCATATATGCATCTATAGTATCATTGTCTTGTTTAATCTCAAAAAATTGTTTTTGCTAGATAGCTTTTTGTTTAGAGATATAAAATTTAGTTTAGAAAAGATGTTTAAAACTTCAATCTCAATAGGTATTATTATCAAAAGCATTAGAAACAGAGTTAAAAGTAGTATACTAATCAAAGACAACTCCTTTAAGAAAAATAGAAGCAAGTTTAAGTTTTCTAGTATTGTTCTATCTGTTTGTAGTAGCAGCTCTTTTAAATTCTTCAAGCCATTCTTTTGGGTCTTGGGTTCTAACTTCTCAGAAGTATTCAACTTTAATGAGACTCTTCTCAGATTCTTGTCCTAAAGTATTAGCAAAGTTAGTTATTGCTATAGCAATAGTAGTCAAAGTAACTTTAGCTATTGCAGGTTATTGTTGTAGTAAAAGTAGAAGGTTTATGAGTAGTAGTAAATTAAGAAGTAGAAGAGATATAATAAGGTCTTTAAATGTTAATAGAATATCAACTAATGTTTGAGGATTTTCTAATTTAGAGTATGTCTGAGTTGTAAAAGAGTTTCACCAATAGAGGTAGTATTCTGATTCAAGATAGTAGTCATACTGATTATAGTATGTAAAGTCAAGGGTAGGTATGTTGTAATGAATATATCAAGCAAAGAGTTGACTTATAATTTCTTAGAGGTTATAGTTGTTATCTTAATAAGTATAGCTGAATATAATATCTCAACAGATTGTTCTAGCAGTAGTTAAGTTATGTATTTGATTTAAGTTATGAAATAAGTTTTAGATTCTTCTACTATAGATTAAAGTATTATAGGTATATTAGTACCAGTTCTAAAATTTTCTAA